GAGACAAGAGAGAGAGAGAGAGAGAGAGAGAGAGAGAGAGAGAGAGAGAAGAGCAAGTGAGAAAGCAAGCCACCAGGTCTGGGACTCGAACCACAGTCGGTCATGTGAGAGTCCAGCACCCTTAGCCACCATACCACCTGGCGGCCCCAAGACCAAGAATTGAAGTGTTTACTGATAATACTAAGTTCTCCACCTAGGAACAAATAGAAAAAGAGAAGATTCAAAGGCTACCGACACTTGTTCATCTACTAGTAGACTCAGTATTTTGCTCAGACATGTTGAGCACTATATTACAGGACAGCCTCTCAGATATGTCGTTTCTAAGGCAGCCAGGAACAATGTTGGAGAAAAGAGAAGATACGCGCCTGTTTCTTACTTCCTCATGAATGCACCACAGGGAGGCATGATGTGTATTTTCACTCTAATCAATATAGCTAATGTTGAATTAAGAGACATTTCTTTCATGAAGGCAGCATTTCCCAATTCCTTTTATATCAATTAGGTTGAAGCAGCACTGGTCTGGTTAAAATTCAGGAGTGCTACAGTGAGATTCATTGCACATTTATCCCTAGTTCATAGAGCATGAAAGGAACTGACGGATTACTTAGAAATACGCATGCTTGCACTCATAAAACCCACCATTTAAAAAGGCACTCATACATGGCCAAATCATAATTTTCTGTGTTTCCTTGGAGAAGACAAAGGGATTTATGAGGACACACAGATCACTGCAGTAGTTCCTACATGACTAAAAATGACAACTCCAGCTTGAGCTGTGAAGATGTATATTCTCACTGGGAAAATATTAAGTAACCTCTTTCCACACCCTCCCAAAAAAGTATACAAACATCACCACCTCCACCATGATCAACACCAGCAAAATAAAAGGCAGATCCTTGCTCACCAACTTTTGCAAGTTTACCAATAAGGGACATTTAATGATCTTTGTTTTATTCTGCAAACATGCCTAGCTTCTGCATTATTCCTTCCTTTTCTTTCTTTCTTTTTTTTTTTGTGCATATGTATATTTTATTTGGGTTCTAAAAAATTTGCCAGCGGGTGCATCCATTTGCCATACAGTGAGGGAGAGGGAAAGCGAGAAAGCACTCCTGAATGGGGAATGGTCATGACACAATTCCTTCTACCTCCTTGAAATTTTTGGGCATGTGTGCACATTTGTATGTATAATAATAAAAAATATGTATTAAAAAGAGAAAATATTCCTTCCTTTTCTTAAAAAGACAGAAGTAAAAAATGTAGGTTCTGTTGGTGATGAAAATGAGAAAATTAAAGACACCAGCTTGGAAAAAGAAGCATTAGTGAATATAACAAATCATGTACATATATTGACATTTTATCAAAAGGTATATGCTATAGGTCTGAATGTTTGGGTCTCCCAAAGTTTATAGGTTGAAATCCCAACCCCTAAGATGATAGCATTAAGAGATGGGACCTTAGGGAGGTGATTGGGTCATGAAGGCAGAGTCTTTATGGATGGGCTTTATGAATAGTGCCCTTATAAAAAGAGGCCAGAGACTCTGCACCTTCCACACAGCTAGCAGGTGTCATCTATGAGCCAGAATTATGTCTTCATCAGATAGTGAATCTACTAGGGCTCTTATGTTAGACTTTCCAGCCTCCAGAACTATGAGAAATAAATTTCTGTTGTTTAGAAGTCACCCAGTCTATGGTATTCTGTTATAGCTGCCAGAATGAACTAAGACAGTGTATAGTTTATCTACTCTAAAATTGCGTACAAGAAAAGCACTCTAGAGACCAGCAGGTGGAGTAGTGGTTAAGCTGCTGGACCCCCACTTGGCCAACCGTGGTTCAAGTTCTGGACTCAGTGACTTGAAAATCACACCAGGCTCATGCTCAAAATCCTGAGAGGAGAATGGAGAGGAAGAGATGACAGTATGGCTATCCCCTGTAGAGGGTGATTTTGCACTTTCCCCCTCTCTGTCTCTCTCTAGTGAGTGCATGTGCCCTGTGGCAAAAACCTAAAAAGAAAAGAAAAGCACGCTACTGTAATAAATCCTACATCTCCACAGCAGTGAGAGAAAAACACGGAATGACTATTTAGATCAATGAGGTTTAAGAAAGAAAATGCTGCAGAAACTACTTTGGGTAATTCAAACAAAAGTAAAGATGCCCACCCTAGCTCTCATACTGAAATGACTGGAATTGATGTCCCAAAATTTCAGTGTGTTTATAAAATTCAGTTACAGAGGACCAGCAGATGGTGTAATGGTTACATCACTGGATTCCAATGTAGTTGACCATGGTTTGAGTCCCGGACCTGGTGACTAAAACTCATGCCAGGCATGTGTGTGTGCATGCCCAAGATCTCAAGAGGAGATGGAGAAGGACTGCGGTGTGGCCATCACCGAAGGGGGTGATTTCTCGCTTTCTGTCTCTCCGTCTCTTTCTCCTTGGCAAGCGCATGTGCCCTATAGCAAAAGATCACTCTCTCAAAAAAATAAAATTTAGTTACAAGATTGAAGAGAAGCCATGTATTCCATATGCTACACTTTCTGGAAGGGCCATAGCCCTTTTTATGAAACCATTTTTTAAAAAATGAGACTCGATACTATTTCATAAGACATAAAGAGAAAATTTCCAACTTGATGATGATTAGACAGAAAAATAGCAGTCAGAAAGCTAGTTTTCTGCTTTTAAAATATCAGTTGATGATGAATAGATCCCTTTTAAGAAATTTATAAATCTATGACCTTCTTAGGTTAAAAATTGCATCATTATTGCCTAATCAAAAGGATTTGGGGAAACCAGCAGTTAGTGTAATGGCTATGTCGCTGAACTCCCATGTAGCCGACCGTGGTTCGAGTCCTGGACTCGGTGGCTTAAACTCACGTTGGGTGTGTGTGCGTGTGTGCCCAAGATCCCGAGAGGAGAATGGAGGAGAAGGGATTGCGGCGTGGCCATGCTCTCTAGGGGGTGATTTCTCGCTTTCTTTCTCTCTGTCTCTCTGTCTCTCTGGCGAGTGCACACGCCCTATAGCAAAAACCTCTTTAAAAAAAAGATTGTATATATTGAAGCCATTCAATGCTAATGTATCATTGAAGTTCAATATGTAAATGACAAGAGAATATTTACCACAAGTATCTTTTACTTTCTGATTTGTTTTACCCTGAATGTTCATGTTTTTCTTTTTCTTTAATTTTTTTTTTTTTTTTTTTTTTGTAGGGGTTTTTTTTATGGGGGGGGGGCCACCCCC